TCATCAATGCTATAAGCAAGGTCATTGTCATTCAATTATACCCTTACCTTACTTCCGCTCTTCCATTGTTGGGGTTTATAACCACGACAACAACCTTTACATCCGTCAACGTTCTTTGTTCCTCTTACGTAACTAAGTTGTGGGATCATGGGCCAAAGACAAAGATATAGCTCTTTTCACATATTCTATATAGGTCCCAAATACTTGCAGACATTTATGTGTCATTTGTATTTGTACGTACTTTGTCAATTCATACTTACAAACTATAATTGTCAAAATTTGCCAATATATTCATACATATTGATATTATATAGCACCTTTACATAAAACATGATCAAAGCGCTTTACATTAGTAAATAAAACAGAATAATTATTTTGCTCTCTAGGCAATACTTCCGAACTATTTCGTTTCCCCTATATCATCTTCCGCTCTAGAATCCTATCTTGTTTATATTTATTTATTGTGTATGTGTCCTTGTCTCCCTCTCCATTATTCTTCTGTTTTTGAAAGAGAAAGTTTCATTCTTTCTCTTCTTTCTCTTATAATGTTATCCACCTACTTCTAGATGACCCTTTTGTGGTAAAGTATAATGTCCGATGTATATTATTTCCGTCGATATAATGAACGTTTCATTTTATTTTGATGCAACAGAGATTTACATTCAAAATCAAAACTTTTACTTTCTATAATTTGTGTACAGTGATATTCATTTTGACATTATCAGCTGCTCGTTCTCTATTTTTTTCCCTAGTATTTAAGATGTATGTTTTCATCATCATGGATATGTTATCATAATTTATCTCAAAGAAGGAATGATGCCGGCATACAAGCAAATGGCGGAACAACATTGACAGATAGAGAGAGAGAGAGATAGAAAGTTGGACGTAGTCTGTACTGTATTTATTATTATACTAGTTGTCTATCTGATCAACCCCCCCCCCCCCCCCCCCCGTTCAGAATGTTTCTTTAGTTCTTTAAAACAAAATTAATTTTTTTTTTTTTAAATCGCTTAAGTATAATGTCCGACCAAGGAGTTATTTCCTTCGTCCGACGTATATTAGTTCTGTCAAAAAAGATTGTGTCATATTATTTTTTGCATAAGACATGTTTTTATATCCAAACTCTTACTTTTAACAATTCTTATTTATATGTCGAAACGTGCTTTCGGAAATCGCGGAACAGAAAACAATATGAGAGAGATGAAGTATAATGAACGGTTTTTATAGAGTGAGAGAGAGAGAGAGAGAGAGAAAGTTGGGCGCATCGTTATATAGTCTGTACTGTATTTATTAGTATGCTATTTTGGCTCTCCTTTCACCTTACCCCCCCCCCCCCCCGTTCTGGATTCTTCTTGAGTTTCATTTGATCATGTTTACATATTTTCGCTACATTATATTGTCCGACGTAAATTATAACAGTCAATTTTGGCTGATAAACTATTTCAATTAAATTTGATGCAACAGAAACTTACATTGAAATAGTTTACTTTTTATACACTGTGTATTTTCTCATAAAATCGAGTATCAAAATAAAAAAGAGTATAGGAAGAAGAAGAAAAAGAAGAAGAAGAAGGAGGAGGAATAAGAGTGACAAGGAAAAAAAAAAGATACGGAGGAGAAAAAAGAAGAACAAAATAAGTAGGTAGAAGAGGAAAAAAAGATAACGAAGAAAAACAACCTACAGTACGGAAGAGCTAAAAGAACTTAGAGCACGGCAGATTGCCAAATGATCTGCGCATGCGCTAAGTTCCTGCTCGTCGAAGCGACTGGCCAGACTTTAGGTCGCTTCAACGCACACGCATTGTTCCGCGCGCTGAACAGTCGCACGGTATTGTACGGCAGCGAAGGAGTCGAGTTTTCGATTTGTAATCTCGTTTGTGGGGTGGCTTTCAGGCTGAATAATTTCGGAAGGAACGGGTTAAAGAGAAACAGATGGAAGAAAAGATGTGTTGCTTGAGTCAGCGGAATATTTGCAATATATCATCAGCTTTGTGTTTATTGTTATTTCATGTCATGTGCTACATGTATGCAAACTTGATGATGTGGTTTTGCCTATGGCAGCAGGTCTGCTGAAATACATGTATATAATTCAGGGGTCGAAGATTGATGTGATTTCAGCTGGGAGGAAACAACGCTTTTTTAATAAAAAATTCACATATTCCTTTGTTCGAATAGAGCATGCTGTAAAGATATAAATCATGTGATTCGTAAACAACGTGCTGTGGTGATAACAATGATTGTAAGAGCCGTTTCAAGTCTCATTCTCTCCCAGAGACCAGATGAGCTAAAAGAAACATTGCAATGTTTTCATAAACCGCCGGCATTACCATAGTAATCAAGCTGCCGTTCGATATTATACTGGAATATGATATATGGAAAAGAGTTATTGCTATTGTACTGCTTGCTGGTGTTCTCTCAAGGTCTGTTGGGGCAATGTATGTATAGTAGCAGCTGCCAGGCGTGCGTGTCCATGATAGAATTCAATAACATGAATGTAATATTATTTGATAGAGATACATATTTGGTGTACATCTACATGTATGTCTGTTGTCTGTTGGTTCTAGACACTACTAGCTTGCTTTCAAATTTGTTCTGCTACTATTCTATATACCATATTGATAAATATATGATTGTTGTAACTGTTGATGCATAATTCTTTGTCTTCAATCACATTATGATACATACCAGTATATACCCTTTCTTTTTAAATTTAGATTGCATGTGACGCATTGTAACATAAACCTACATATTAAACATCCGCGTAGTTGTTGTGTTTATGAAAAGTAAAAATGAATGTGTGACTGCACTTTTGTAAAAGGTAGTCATACTTTCTGCTTTATTTGATTGATATTCTGTTCTAGTACAACCAAAAAACTCTATCACATCCAAGCATTTTGTGACATGATTGTATGCTCATTTAGATGGAATCAATCGCATTGTAATGGTCTTGTCCTTTTAAATATATTGTCATTTTTAAATTGAAAAGGAAGCGTTTGATCGAATCCAATTTTAAGAATCGATTCTGCCAAAATCTTGTTTAAACAATTGTTTTTGTTCCTAGATTCTTTGTTTTCTTTAAAGTGAAATGTCTGTTAAAATGTTGTTTTCTTGCGTAGACCACTTTTGCAATTTAATGCCTTTATCTTGGTAAGTGCCATGTTACAAACTATTTCATTCAGCTGTTATGAATAATTTTATTTCAATAGTCAGAATGCAAAATGCATAAAAATATTGTTATGTAGGAAAAACATTATTACTTGAATAATATTAGTCTTTCAGTTTCATCATTTCAATGTAGGTCTAGTACACCCACTAGAGATATGAATCTCTTAACAGAAGAGGACTATGATATATACACTTCATTTATATTCATGATGCATAATATGAGATGACATAAGCATTACATGAAATACTACCCCTTGCACATGACATACCACCCAATGTTGATTACCTGTAAGCATCTGAAGTGGCCGTAGTGATATTGAAAGTCTTGAATAATGCACACCGGATCTCGTTTAAGTATGATTAAAAAAAGGTGCTAATGAGAAGAGCACCTCTTTCCCTCCCCTCCCTCCCTGTCTTACTTCATTCAATACCTTGGTGAGATGGAGAGAGAGAGAGAGAGAGCAAGGTAATGAAAGGAAATATGGGCTTGGACTCATTAACACTACCTAGTTTACACCTCTGAGGAGCCAGGGGAAGGTGGGCTTTGAGATAAAGAGGCGGGTTGAAATTAACTCGTCGAGTGCCAGCCCAAACGTCCTGGGCAGCTTGAATCTGCGGGACATGGGCAACTGCTCCTAGAAGACATTGGTATGTAGGCACATGTTGGCATATAAAGGATGTGATTCAAATATTGGTGTTGGTAAAATTGATAGGAGATTGTTTAAGTGAGGGGTATTTACAAAGCTGCTATTCTCATCTATCTATTTTCTCCTTTTTCTTGCTCCAAAATATTTTCATGTTCTCCCTCATGTTTTCTTTACTTTCCCCTGTTTCACTTCTCAAAGCTTTTCACATGGTGTCCTTCAGCATATTATCATGAGGGCAATGTATTGTAAGTTTGTGATGTAATGTTTACATGGTCTAGATCAATTTCATTGCATGCTTATTATGTACCTTTTTTTAATCAGTTCCCTATTTTTTCAGAAGATATTGTTGGTGATAATTTCCCCGCAATTTATTTTTGTAACCTAGTCCTAACTATTAAATGAAGCAGTTGCCAACTTCCTTGTATACTTTAGCTAAATTAAACAGTATACAAAATTTAACGTCCAAGTCACAGGAACAAACTTTGCTGGTCTGACCGTGGGAACAAAACTGTCACCAAAAAAAGCTTTCACTTTTGGCTTTTGATCAGGTCAGATCACATCCAGGTTTCTGAACTATGTTTCCCCCGGCCGACCTCACTTGTTTACTTTAACATGATACAAGCAGCGTTTTTTTATAAAGGCTTTACCCTGTTTTGAGGATCGTGCGAACATACACCTCCAGAGTCCAATAATATCTGTTCTACAGGACTAATGCCAAAAATATTATGGGGCATTAGATTGTTATTCTGATGTAACATAATCCCATACTTTCCCATTGTGAGAGATTTTGATTTGTTAATGAGTTGATACTAGCCTAGTTGATACCACATATTAATTGTTGTTTAACCATTAGTTGAGTGGTTGTTCCCACATGATATGTGATGTCATAATGGGAACAGGAACATCTTTGCGTTCATTCACAGTTCAGCAGAATCAATGAGATTCTAAAACAACAATACACATTGTCCTAACTGCATGCATTGAGAATAAAAATACAAACTTACTTGGAAACACCAATATTCATCAATGAATATAACGAGGGCTTCCTCCCTTTGTCCTTACCATGGCACCATTATCAACTTATCACCAATACCATTATCAACGTATCACCAATACCATTATCAACTTATCACCAATTACTAACGGTACTCTTTTCCGCTCCATTCTACCAATTTCTCTTGTCTACAGATCTTGATATTATAGTGTTGAGTGGACTCACAGCCTGTGGCATATCTTCTATGACTGTTACCTGCTAGGAGGGATCAATGTTTTGACAAGGTAAGATTTGATTTGATTTGATTTATTTTTTTTCTGTTTGATTTTCTTTTTCTTTTGCAGTTTTACAAATATAGAACAAACAAATTATTGCAAATTTTATCTATGGCAAAAGAGTATATGTGGACTACAGAAAGGTTGGCTGTATTAAACTAGATGTCCTGTAACTAGATGTCCGATCAATTCTTGTTCCCATTCTATTTCTCTCATTTTTATTTCTGAACATGATCATTTTAAAAGAAGGATGAGTATCAAGCTAGATAATGTGGTTGTATGGCGCCATGAATAGAGAATTGCGGCAAGACTTTGTAAGCAATTCACGATGAAGACATTTCTTCTACAAAGCTGTAGATTTTCTGATGGCAATGTTGGATCATATTACTTTGAAGGGATTAGTGATATTCTGGATGTGTTTCAGGGTTTTATTGCTTGCCTGGATAACATTGTTGACTGTAGTATTTCAGCTTCACTTTTGGCTGTGGCTTGGTTCTTTATGCTCCTAAAGAGGATAATTATTATTTTTTTTAAACATAGAAATTGGATTTCTTTGAATAACTATTCTCTGAATCTACTTTTTATCAACTGACTTCGTGATGGGTGTATAACTTTCAGGGTTAGCCTTCTTGAACCATGACATTGGACTTTCCTGTGCATTAAAGTAGGAATTAAGGTTGCTGACATTTAACAACTTTCTATTTGGAAACCTTAAAAAGCCTGTAGTTCCTATCTGGTGAAAAAAGATGACATCAATGACGGAAATACTCTAAGGTGTGAGAGGAAGTAATAGCATGTAGCAAAGAGCAGTTGAACCCTCTATCAATGTCATCTAGGATAGTTTAAAGGAAACACTCAATACCAAGTTACACGGGTGTTTGGCAGTCTTCACTGGAAACTTGCGATGTAATATCTGCAAATTATGTTTAAATCTCTTTATTTCACACATAGTTTGTATTAAAGGGACGGGGTAACATTGGTCAGATGAGAGAAAATGGTGCTCAGGTAGTGACTTCAATGCTAGATGTACATTTAAATATAATCTGAAATTTCGAGTGAAAACATACAATTGTTAATGATAAAATATTAAAAAACTGATCTGATCAATACCTGAATTCTCCCAACTATATCATTATAATTTGATTAAATTATAGGGGAATGTAAATCGTCACAAGCAATGAACTGGCTCTATATACCATTCCAAACAATAAAGTGTTGAACGATTTTTAAATAAAGATAAATGTACTAAATTCAATGTGCAATACTGAATCACAGTATCATCTCTGTAAATACAATCATGAGGCTGAATAGGTAGATTATCGATGCATAAAGCGAACGATCTATCATAGTTTGGGCTATTGACTGGACAATAGAAACAATTATTAACGAGCTTGATTACGTACAATAGCCCTCTCTACAATCCCCTTGCACCATGTCAATGGGCACTGACAGGACACCATACCCTCAGGGCGAAGGAGATAGCGTCTGCCTGTTACTAATATATACGGTCATTTATTTTGCTGTCACTTTGGTAATAGTATTTGGGGTGACTCAAAAGTACCAAATTGGGTGTGGTATGGTTGGTAGTTAATGGAGAATTGGAGATAGTTATTTTTTATCTTATGCGCCTCTACCTATTTTGATATAGACCATGAAAACTCCAATAATGATGAGTGCTGAAAACCCCCTCATGATTATAACAGTGAAATGTGAAAAATAACAGATAAACTCATTGTCAAGTTAATGGGGTTTATATAATCAAATTAGATCTATCAGTTTTAAAATATGTATACCATTCTTCAAATTGTCATTGACATTTGCAATTGACAGAGCTACACTGATGGATGCCTAAACTATATTGTCTGATTCATCTACCAGGTAGCCAAATTCACTTAAACATGATTCAGTATTCATACTATAAATGCCATCCCCATGGTTATAAGATGAAACAGAAATGCAAAATGTTTATTTATGTCCCCCACAAAGCACACATCACACATTTTAACTCCTGGGGAGAGAGGAGAAAGAGTGTGAAAACCAAAACAGCAATCATGATGATATCGTTCCAAGTAAAGTGAGACTGTATATATGATTTAATTTAAAAGGTCTCTTCACCACTGGGCTCTATGCAACTATAAGCCCCCCCCCCCCCCCTCGAAAAATATAACAAGTGTTCTATATGTCTACTGTGTGCATGTGGGGTACTCTTGAAAATATATGCAGTCCGCATGCATTTTTTATTGAGTGTGTGTGTGTGTGTGTGCTTAGACATGGGAGCTGTGTGTTTGTGTGTGGGTGTACGGAGATTGTGCAGGTGCAGTGCGATGTGCCTGCGTGTATGCATGCATGGGCGGTGGTGATGCGGTATTACATCCCTGTCTCTCCTTTTACCACCATTGGAGGATTCATGTAGTGTCATCCTAGTCTCCATCTCGATCAACCCTCTCTCTCACTCTCACTCTCTCTCTCTCCTGTGGAAATATGGTTCTAACGTACTGCTGGAAGAGGAAACCTCACGTTATCTTTGTGATTCTAACTGGAATTGTATATTATTGATCTCTATTCTGTGAATCTCACTGCTATCACTACATATATCTGTATCTCCGCCATTGGGCGGCAGCTACTGCTCTTGGATTGTGACAATATCTGGAGGGTTGAACGTTTTGGTCCTCGTCACCGAAGAAGGTAGTGTATATTGGTTTTTCATTTTCAAGCCTGCTTGCGATACATTATACACACTGCCACGTTCACAGCAGTGGCCGCCGTTCCTTGATAATGCTACTGGGTGTTTTTACTCATGAACGTACCTCTGCATGAACATATGAGTCATCCCCGAATTTGTCTGTATGTGTGTTTGGATGTGTTGTATCTGCATGAATAGGGAATCTATATGTTAGTCAGTCTGTCCGTGTGAAAGCCTTCTATTATAGACACCTGAAGATCCAAGCATCCTTGTACTTCATCATCTGGTGCTATACGTTGAGTGTAGTGATGATGCTCAAACCACACCTAGATGCTAATAGGATGGATGCGGGGGCAATCTCCATAAGCTGTCTCCCTTGGGATAACAGCTATACTCTGTAGGTTGATGGATTAATATCCTGTACTTTCCACCTCTACTCTCTAAAGGAAATGAGAATCAAGATTTCTGCTTAAGAGCCATCTTACGAAGATGTGTACATGTTTATATAAAGTGCACTTAGCAAAGATGAGAATGGGGATGTGTATACATGCAAGTTTCCTGCTTGTATCACGGCACCCTATTAAAGCTATGCTGGTATTGAAAGGAGCAATTGTTCTGTTCACTATCAAAGCATCACTTACATGTATATGTGGGTAGAATGTAGAATAACGTCTTTGATAGCACAGCATGTATACTGAACTTAAAATCAGAACTGTCTGTTAATGTAGTGTACATGCATGCCTTAACACTACAAATCCAGTTAAGAGTGAAATCAAAACTCGCTTGAATAATGTTTTCCTTTCGCTTTTTCTCATTTTATTTTAATTTACATCCTATCACCAGTGTAAGTAATATAATTAATTAGCCATTACAAACGTGTTAATAGCCCTATTATATATTCATAATAGCATTGGTAAGATTGATGTGGTGTCTTGACTTAATTGAAAATTAATCAGCTCAGACAGTGTTATATATTACACCGGTGTGATAATTCCCTCACTGATTATTAATACATGATTAGTTTTTAGGAAGAAGTCCTATCACATTTTGCCAATGTTATGAGGGTGGATCCCCTTCAAAGTTTTTATTTAAGTTAGTTTCAAGATTTCAGAAATTGTTTTGTGTATTGTGAGGTTAGTCCTGCAGTAAGATTATAAATTAATTGAACTCGCTCACAAAAGAATTAATCACCATTCTATATATATATAATATGGTAACCGCTCACACACAAAAATGTAGCCTCCTATTTATAGATATTATAGAATGAACAGAATTTTGACTCTCTCACCCACTTGAATAAGTATTTAATATACTTCTATTATGTTTGATTTTGAAGTTAAAACCATATTGAATTAGCTGACTTTAGTATGATCCCTGGACAAGGCAGTCTGTATATTTATTTAAGGTATAGATCAATAAACTTATGTATACCCGCTTGGTCAATAGTGTCAGCTTTCAAACTGTTTGGTCTTACAATATTGGTATGACTTTGAATGAAGAGAAACCAAAGAAGGAAATGTTTGCAAATCAACTTCTAAGGTATTTATTTAAATCATTATTCATAGAGTGTAGATTGTGCATGTTGAATTGAATGCTTTTGTTTACATAGGAGTAAAGAATCCTGGAATGAAATGGTATAATCACTGGGATTTGCGTGTTTAAAAGTTTTCCATTTCGTCATAGTCCATTACAAACCAAAAGTATTTGAAAAAACTTATTAAAGATTGCAGTCAAATTTCAAGGAAATTAACTCTTGTACTGACATATGAAAAAATAAGCTGGTTCTGCTCCTTTTTCAATTTATGTTTTTGGTTGGGGTAGTTTACCATTTTGATGGTTTTTCATGCTTCTGTAAATGATTGAATTACGAAGGTAGGCCTATTCTTTTGTTCCTGTGGTGAAATGATTTTATTATGATATTTGATTTTAAGCTATGCTCAAGTTAATGATGCATTCCATGTCTCATATTTGTTTCTTGTTAAAATGGGTGCTACTACATTTGATATTTATGAAGAGGTTTGGGATTGGGATGGGTTTGTTTAGTCTTCCGTGAAATTGTTAGTTTAATAATTGGAGGTTACTTGGCCGTTAGTAAGATGGTTGTTGACATTCTGTGAGGCCATTCATATTTAGGCCTATGTGAAAAAGTCATCAATCATAACATTGTTTGTTATTTTGACATTTGAAGAAGTTTTCATCTTAGACTAGTGCTATTGCAGGGTATAGGCATCTGAAAGAAGAATGCATTAATTGAACTTATCAAAGCTATAATTTGATTTACTTTCTTGATAATATGTAAGTTTAGATTGTGTAGAGTAGGGAGTTG